GGAATACATGGTAGGTACGGATCCACGTTCATGGGGAGGTTTGAAGTGCCTGTTCACGTTCGTACGTTCGACACGTGGTTCCCTACCTACCATGCATTTCATCACAAAAACTTCCGGTCCCGCCCACTGGCCTCTTCTTCCATTGGGATCTAGCATGTTATGCGTGTGATTATAAGCAGAGCTTTGTAAACTAATGGACCACATGCATGGTACTGCAAAGATCTAACAAGGGCCGAAAGTGATCGGAGAAGGAAAAGCTAGAAAAGGTGTACCACTTCGCCTGTATGGTTTAGTCTAGGCTTACAGTGCGTTTTGTCCCTGCTGCGAATGCATTGGTATCGAACTTGGTCTGTCACTGATGCCAAAACAAAAACATGGAAATCTGCTGTGTCGCTCAAGATTTGCACGAGCCGACACGCATTCAAAATTCTCCCACATACCAAAGCAAAATCTTGGAAAGACACTTCTCAAGATGCCAATTTATTATTGACCGCATCAATGGGAATACTTCGCCTTCGGTCAAAGCAAAGCTAAAGAAACTTTATTTGTGCGCCACATATCGTGAGGTGTATGTATGAACACACTACGAGTAAAAAGACAGAAGAATATGCCAGTATCTAGCACCAACTCTTCCTGGAACTACAGTGTAGTTCTATTTAACGTGTTCAGCGTTGGTTATGTTAGTCACGAGTATGACACGAAGAAGCCCTGGGAAGTAAGGTATGCTTCCCCGAACAGGAGAGGACCCCTCCCTGGTAATGTATGCTCTCCCCACCGAAAACTCTCGGGAAAGGCAATGCCACCGGTTCTCTGGGGTGTTTCCCAGGGTGCATGTCAATCATGGGGAAATCTCCCAAACTGCATATCAATCGGGGAGATATGGAGACCGGTGGGCGTGGCCTTCCCCGAGTGGTTAGGGAGAGCATGACTTAACAGGGAGGGATCCCTCTCCAGTTCGGAGAAGCATACCTTACGGCCCCGGCTTATAGACTTGACGGATTCAAGGTCCAAAACTCTGGGGCGTTGCGGCCAAAGGCAAAGAATACATTTTACTTGAGCTTGGGAGTCTCTCGACCCCCATGGGATAGTCGACGTTGCAATGTTTATGTCCCTCTTTTGCATGAAGCTCTTTACAAAACTCTCCAGTAGCCGTATCCCATACTTCTCCCAGGCTAAGAGAATAAAGGAGTCTTTTAAATTTAATTTGAATAAGAGTATCCCCTTACTTTCCACACTTGTTTGCGGTTATACACAAATATACACTACGAATAGCAGCTTGTCAAGACAATTATTGTAGAAGTACAAAGAAAATTTGAAGGTATTTTTTGTTCATCTTACTTAGGGGAAGATATGATACAGCTCCAGAACGAGAACTGCGATTGCACTGCGAAGAGAATGCAGGACTTCCCTCTAATTTGTTTATTTGCGACATTGTTTACTGGACATGAAATGCGTAGTAGTGAGAATTAGGAACGATCACTTCCATTTGCCCACATTCATCCTTTGCATAGCTGGCTTTCTTTGGCGCGAGCGCAAGCTTTAACAAACCTTTTGCTTACAAAAAAGTGACACGGTATTTCGTATGAATCCACTGTCGTTATTTAAGGTTATGAAAGCGAGCTGCAAAATGTATAGGCAACGCGACGAATCGGAAGAACAACGCTATAACTTCTGCGAAAACTGCACAGCAGCCCCTTCCTGAGAATCAGGAATTACTGCGGATAAAGCTTCTCCAGTGTCTACAGTTGGTTAGTGTTTACAGTTTCCAGTTTCTTCAGTGTCATTACAAGCCCCACTCAAACAATCGCTCAAACGCTGGAGCGCTCACACAAGATATTTTACGCAGAAGGAATGGTCCGATGCGAGACTAGTGGGGACTGCTACACTTCTATTTGGACAGCAGTCATTGACGCGAAAGTATCAAAAAGAAGGGCGAACTGCATGCGCCACAGCGACACTTTTGCACTTTAGCGGATCCAAGTCTCAAGGAAAGAAATGAAATAAGATAGATAAAAAAATTAGGCACTATTGAGCTATTACAACCCCAGAGGGGGTGAGATGGATCAAAAAATTTTTTTCGCTGAAACTTGCGCTAGGGGGGTTATCGAGGCTCCTGATCACGAATATGACCTTAGTTTTTGGCGCTGGCGCCAAATTGGCGCCATTTGGCGCCAATTGGCGCCAAGGGTGTTCTCACCAAATTCGCTGTAAACTTGGATAGGGGTTATCGAGGCTCCTGATCACGAATATGACCTTAGTTTTGGCTCAATTTCTCTAGGTGACGCTCGAAATAGATGTCATCTAGGCGCTCATCCAGTAAGGGGGGCATCAAGTGGCTGCCCTCACCCCCCACCCCCCTGAACTGGCTTCACTCCCCCTGGCTCACGGGGTCCCGTACTTCGAGAAACCTGTGTGCCAGGGGGAGTGTAGGCAGTCTAGGGGGTGGGGGGTGAGGGCAGCCACTTGATGCCCCCCTTACTGGATGAGCGCCTAGATGACATCTATTTCGAGCGTCACCTAGAGAAATTGAGCCAAAACTAAGGTCATATTCGTGATCAGGAGCCTCGATAACCCCCCTAGCGCAAGTTTCAGCGAAAAAAATTTTTTGATCCATCTCACCCCCTCTGGGGTTGTAATAGCTCAATAGTGCCAAAATGAAAGTCCCCCTTTCTTCACGATTTGGGGCGCGGCCGCGGCAAACCCGGCCGAGTCGATAGTGCCCGCGAACTGTGTGGGTAAATTTGAAAACGCATCACCACCACAGTTCGCGGGCACTATCGACTCGTCCGCGCTCGCCGCGGCCGCGCCCCAAATCGTGAAGAAAGTGGGGGAGCCGAATGAAATAGTAAAATAAAAATTGAATTAAGATGAAACACAAAAAATGTGCACCACAAACCTGTTGGTGAATCATTGGAATGGGACTGGACTCGTCGATCTCTCCAGCGATTTCGACGTTTTCCCCACGTATCAAAAGAAATCCTTGATTAATGTCACAGTAATACTTGTCAACAAAAGTGCGTTCCACCACATCTTCGAGTATCAGATTAGCGAATTGATCTATGGACTTTAGATATCCGATCAACTTCCTTCCATCACGAAGAACCACAACGAGTTTTTTGTCCAGTTGCTCAAATAAACTGATGGCACCCGGTAGATAATGGATCAGGGAGATCCATCTGAAAACACATCGGATTAGTCCCTTCTTCTTTTTGTAATATTTCCACAGAAAAACCACCTAGGTCATTCTATGAAAAACAAGATAAAAGGAACCGACAATAATTAGTAGAACGCAGTGAGCTACAAATAAATCGAGTCAAATAGCGAGAACAGACAAATACCTACAAGGCCTGTGAGAAAGAAAGCAGCTCAACTGGTTTAAATGACCCCCAAAATATTGGGGTCTATTCCAGTCAGGGGGGGGGCATCATGATGCAGTTTTTCCAGAAAGCTAGGGTAACTCCGAGCCAGGGGAGTGTAGCCAGTCTAGGGGGTGGGGTGAGGGCAGTCACTTGACATGCGTGAAAAGCTGGAATGTTCGAGTTCACACTAGTTCGCCGAGAAACTGCATCATGATGCCCCCTAACTGGAATAGACCCAATATGTAACTTCCCAAAAGTTTCCGATTCAATTTTGCCAAGCGAAAAATAAAGGAAAACGGAGTCCGAGGCATAGTTGGTCTCGAGACGATTGCGGGTTCTACCGTATTCAAGTTGATTGGAGATGGAGCAATTGTATTGCCGTCCTACTTTCTTTTGAGTATTTTTTCTAGAGTAATTAAATTTGTGTGTTTCTATTCAGCACTTTGTAAAAGAGTTGCGATATCATCCGACTTATGGCTTAGGGAGCCGCCAATGTGACTCCTATCCTTGTTCACGTTGC